TCCATCCATCCATCCATCCATCCATCCATCCATCCATCCATCCATCCTCTTTACTCGCTTCTTCCTTTACGGGGTGCGGGTGTCACTGGTGCCCATATCCAGCCATCACTGTGTGACAAGCTGGGTACACCCTGGACAGGTCTCCAGTCCATCACAGGGCCACAAAGAGATAATTGAGACAACCATTCACTCTCTCACTCACACCTAGGGACAGTTTAGAGTTACCAGTCAGCCCAACATGCATGTTTGTGAGAGGAAACTGGAGTGAATGACGAAAACCCAGGTAAGAACGGAGCCAACATGGAACTTCCAGAAAAAGTCCCGTCCAGAATTTGGTCCGGCAACCTTCTCGCTGAGAGGCCGCAGCTCTACCCGCAGGGTTACGACCTGGCTCAGTCAGGAAAATGGGAGGTACCATTAAAACCAGGTGCAAAATGGCTTTGAATAAAAGTAATGATTGTCATTTAAACACAATTAAATAAAAGGAGGGTACTTCCAAAGTACCAATTAACAAAGATGTTACAATTATAACTTCTAACAAAAGTAATCAAAAACAAATTAAACAATTGAGTAAAGCCTCAAACCAAATTGATAGAGAATTACAACGATGAACTAGTACTGCCTTCTGAAGCTTACAAGCAACACTAACTAACAACTCCGTCTGCAGGAATTAATTGTTAGCCAAAGCCAAACGCCTCGAGTCAAGTCCACAAAAACCCCAATGGCTAACTGCTTCAAACAACCGCTGCCCTGGATGACAGGAGAGTTGGATTAAAATAGGAGGGCCTCTTCTGTGGTTGGAGCAGCAGGAGGGGAAGAAGCCAATCACAACGGTGCCACTGCACATCTGGATCAGCAATCAGCTGCAATCATATTGTCACTCAACATATATGACCTCAGGCCATAACACACAGCATCCATGTGACTATGAACATGTGTGCAGTGTATAAACTGTGTGTCTGTCATTGATGTTGTAGCTGTTGAATGTATTCGTCTTGATCAGAGAGTCTGGTCAGTGAAGGGATTTACTCAACCCCTGGTGGATTGATATATTCTGCAGGGGCAGGAGGGTGACCTTTATATGACCTATGCTCAGCACATGTACATTTGGTTGCTAAAAAGGCAGGGAATTAAACAAACAGCAGCTACTATAATTTATTTTATGCTATTACAACTTATTTTCTAAAGAACTGTTTCAAACGCCTGAAAAACAATAAAAATGGGTGCTCGTTTGTTTCACTGTTAACCTAACAGCAGAAGACTTTTACGCTGTTCTCCATGAGATGTGATCTGATGTGATGGACATGTGTGCCGCCGCCGCTCATATTGTTCTGTTGATAACTATTTAACAAAAAACAACAAAAAAAATACCTCTGGGAATTAAATTCAACTTAAAGTCACCCCACCAACGACACTTTTTTTTATTTTTTATTGCAGCATGTTACAAAAGCTCAAAAATATTTACACATTGTTTGCCCAATTATTAAGATCATACACATTTTATTAGTTTATTTAGTCTGTACAAAAGGTCATCAATGTGTGAAAATAAATTGCGCACGATGCCAGCTGTTTCACTTTAACTCTTGATCCAAACAGTTCAGAACTCTGTGAAAACTAAGAGGCGTGTTTTGGAAAATTTAACGTTTGTTGGATGAAAAATAGTAATTTTAAATGATGTCTTCAGAGCGTATTTAGCTCTTAGCTCTCTGTTTACCTCTTAGATCTTGTCTCTGCACCGTTTCTTTTTTTTTTTTTTTTGTTTAATCTGCTATTCCAAAAATTCTTCTGAAGTGGAGTCAATCATGCAAAGAAGCATCTGATGAGCTGTTTTTCTTCATGTTGCTTTCATTTCCCTTCAGCCCGTTCCAGGAGAGCTGCATACAGCTCAGACTTTAGAAATCGAGGATAACAGTCGTTTTCCATCAGACGGTATATCAGCCTCTGTGCCCTGTCGAAGCAATTTGGCCCCGGATGAGAGATATTTTCTCTGATTTCTTTTCTTGTCACACAGTCAATGTTCACCTGTGTTCAGAAAACAGCAACTTTCATTCATGTGTGTAGGCATGTTTACAATTTAATGTTTTCAGAAAGTAAATTACATGTCAACCCAGTAGAAGGAGAAATAAACGCATTGCACTGAATCGATAAAAAAAAAGGAAAATTGCTTCTTTTTCCACAGCAGATGTGTGACTGAAACTATAAGAGAGAAGCATAAAGCAAACTAGGAGCAGTCTGATTTGAAGGAACACAGAATTGATTATATTCACATCTCTCTGTCAAAATGACATACCTGTCTGGGTGCATCAACTTGGACAAACTCTTTGTAAATCCTCGTGGCATCAACTTTCATTTCTGTCACACCAGAATGTGTTTTGTAGTTTTCGCAGGCCAGCCAAAACAAAAGATTCTCATCGTTGTATTCTGTCCTCAAGTAGTTTTCAAACACCAGCCGGCCTGCTGCAGAAAAGGAGCAGATCAACACAGAAATCAATAGTTTTTTTTTTTTTTTTTTTTGGTGGTGATGGTGAGGTTCAGCAGAAGTTAAGAGTTTAAAAAGGATGTTTAAAGAATCATGTTCAGCGTCTTCACACTCATTCACACGTACATACTGAGAGGAAGAGTCTGACTTCTTATGATTAGGAACTCTATTCCAGAACATTTCAACTAGTTTGACTTATATTGATATCCTCTTTTGACATTACACAACACAAATTATTTATTCAGAGCAGGTCAATAGAAAAGTGCTTGGTGCATATTTTCCATGAAGTGACATTTAAAAAAAAAAGCTCTAAATTGATTTGTCATAGATTAGACATTTTTCAAATATATATATGTATATATATATATATATATATATATATATATATACCTTCACTGTGCTTTGTTTTATTCACCAACTATGATTTACGTTAGTTTGAAAATATCACATAAAATATGACCATAATAGCACTTTACAATAAGGTACACACAATTTGATTAACTACTAACGCCTCAGGAACAAATCAGGAGCTAATGGGTAGTTAACCAGTGGGGAACACATATCCAAGCCTTATTAGGTGACGACTGGTTAGTTGCCTTGCAAATGAAGAGGAAGTAATCAAGAACTAATGGTTAGTTAACAAGTACTTATTAGGGAACACACAGCTGAGCCAAGTACACAGAAACAACAGGTAGTGATTAAGTTATGATTGGTTCCTCAGTAAGTATTTGGTGTGATGCTTCACATCAGTGAACATGACAGTCAGTCAATGATGTGGTGCTCAGTAAGTGATAGTCAGACAGCAGTACACGATTATGAAATTGATAATGTATTCCATCAATAGATTAACAAAAGAGAGAATCCAATATCATCAGTAGAAAACTGGTCTTTGACAATGACGAGCCTTGACCTCACTGGTGCATGGTTTAAATTCTCCACGTGGGTTCTGAATTCATTCAACCTTTATGTAGGCAGGTTAATCCCATTGAGCTTCGAGGACTCATTTACAAGAGAGACCTGATTCCAACAAAGAATGATGACAACAATGGACAA